CAGTCATGTAAGAGTCAAGTCATGGTTATTCAGTTATATGAATATTCAGGCCAGTCATGTCAAGATCGAGGATAGTCTGTCTAATAAGACAAGACTTATCTATTATTTTCAATACGTCAGCCTCTCGATTCTCAAATTCTGAAGAATCTGAGAAATCGTGGGAGATATTCATTCATGATGGACTTCTTCTTGAGGTTAAGTTTAACCTCGGAGGAAGTAAACAGTTGCAGGTACCACAGGTTGACATACGCCGCGACGAAGAAGGGCCAATCGATAGCAACAGATCGTGCCATGATGACAAACCGATGCTTTCCACCCCAAGATGCCATGCTTGAATCATAGTACACTAGGAGATTACAGAGAGTTAGTATTAAAAAGTACATTAAGGTTACTAGCTTGAGGTATAGATACGACCAAATTACGTCAACGACGCAGGTGCAATGTTCGCCAGGTGCTGTATGCAGGCGTACCGCACTCACTTGATGAGGAGCAAGTATGCCGCATTACAATGTGCCGCGAACGATGTGCCGCGTTGTCAAGTAGACAGTCACGAAAGGTAATTACCAATATAGCTATTTATCCTCATTTGTACATACGTGTATCTCTGGAATCTTCCGTGTGTACCAACGACAGGAGTCTTCACAACCAGCGTTCAGACTGGAGATCAGCCTGCAATCAGAAGATAATGACCAGTACGCTCCAGAATTTCGTTTTGAGATCATGTCTTATCAGTGGAACACTTTCTTTCAGAAAAGTGCCCATTCTCAGTCAGCAGTATCCCACAATTCACTTAATTGTGAATTGATGTATCTTTAGTTCAGATGAAGCCTATTATTCGGTATTAGAGTACTGAATTCTCAAGTCATGTAATCAGTGAGTATAAGCTTTAAGTTAAGCTTGTACATTCCAGTTTTAATATTTCCGAGGACGGAAATATTTTAAGGGGGGTGGATTGTAACACCCCGTATTTTTATTAATAAAGGAAAATACTAGCTTTTAGTTTTAAGCTAGCCTTTGTTAATAAATAATCATGTTCAGGTTAAAGTTCAAGTTCATCAGCCAGTTATATTCCAAGTTCGACTATTAGTCGATAAATTATTCGATTTAATTATTTCAGTAACCGAATAAGTTTCAAGATTTAATTCCGATTCATCTATTAATTAATTAGTTCGGAATTAATAAGTTAAGTTGACGAATTGTCCGAAATGTCGATATTTGGATTAATCGTCCAAGTCATGAATATTCGAATTAATTTCGAATATCACGTTTATGTTCGGAACTAGTTATTTCAGTCGAGATTCTTCGAAATTATTTTCGAAGTCAAGGTTTACGTTCGGATTAATTTTGATATTTAAATACCAAGTTAATCAATTTAATCATATATTTTCAATAATTAAGTATATTATTTATGCTTAATTAATATTCATGATCATGATT